AGACATAGCACTGTTTTCCCACTGAATCTGAGATGGCATGTGCTTTAATAATCTCCGGGGAGAACAGAGTTTCTCTTATACTCAGATCTCCTTGTCCTTCAGAAAGTCTGCAGTGGTCTGGTTGTCTGACATCTATGCCCAAGTCCTCTCTTCCCATAGGGCTCATAACTGAGGTGCTTCCATCCCTCTCCCACTATGCTTCAGAGGAACTGATGTCTTCCTAGTTCCCAGAGCAGAGGCTAGTGACAGAGACCCTTTAGCAGATGGTGTTCCCTGTATAGCCATGTGGTCTGATGAATTCCCGTTTCAAGCTGTCAGAATCAGTCTGAAGAAGAGACCTCAATTTAATCACTGACTATGTCTTCTTGTCCACTAAGCATTCAAAAGAAAACATTTTGTTTCTGAGGAATGGTCTGTAACCAGGAGGGTAGTTACCCAACAAATATATCCAAGTGTGAAGCTTAGCAGGGTGGAGTTACTGGGGCCATTTTTTCTTCTTACTGTTGATGGCAGAATGAGTCCTGTTACTTGTAGCTAATCAAAACCTATTAGATAGGTATTTTAAAGTTGCTGGCTCTATGTTATTATGAAAAAGATATTTTATTTCCATTTTAATTGCTAACCCAATACTGATGGCATAAACAAAACTTTAGAGGAATTGATGTGGAAAATGCATAAAAATATTTCATGCTGCAGAAAAATATGCATAAAGTACATATTTAAATAAAAAATATTCTGCTATATATGTCAAAACAGCTTGAAAGCTATCCACTACAATCTTGGCATTTGAGTGTGAGTTTGGGAGGCAGTAATGGAGCAAGTAGACCCATGGAAAAAGTTACATGTTTCTGAGTAACACTGAAACTTTAATAATTTTGATATCTGTGATATAGACATTATTTAAAACAATATTGCATAGGACAATGCAGCTTGAAGAGACTGTTCAATAGAGAAGCACTGACTTTTTTGTTCTGACATCTTAGGGTTTTTCTGCACAATGCCTTGGCCACATGGGCAATACATGAGGAGCTTATCTGTAGAAATGTGTCCTGAGTTTGAAGGAGAGTCCATGAGGCACAAAAAGCATCATTCAGATGTCTTTCTCTAGAGGTGATCTATTAGCTAATGCATGCAGGAAGATGAGCTCACAGCTGCCCCAGGGAAGAAGAACCTTGTTATCAACACTACAATCATGCACATCATCCAGATTTAAATTGGAGAACCTTGAGTTGGAACAAGATCCAAAGTCAGTAAACATAAAACCAGTGAAACAAGAAAAAGTGGAGATGGGAGATGGATGAAATAAATATGGCTTTGCTAACCAACAAAGTAGGTTGCTATTTATTGTGTCTGAAATATGCTAGTCACAAGGTGCTTTCCTATAATTTCATTCTGTCTCCAGGGAGGCTGTATGTCTCAGTACAGTACATATAGCTTAAAAACTCTTAGACTATGACACTATTATATAATTTGTAGGTGGCCATGGAAAAGTCATAGAGCCCTTATGTGCTTATGAAAAGAAGATGAAAGGAAATCAATAGTTACACACAGCACATTTAAAAATCAAGTGTGGTGTGTGGAAAAGTATGCATGGACAGTAGCACAGCTTCTAGGACAGCTCTTTGATATGCCTATGTTAGAACCCTCCATTTTCAGGAATCATGCTGCAGTTTGGAGAACTACTTTGAACAAGTTACTGAAGGAGGAAGAAGAAGTGAAAGTCCAGGATTGATCTTGCCTGAAATCAGAAAGGCATCCTCTCTCCTGTCTATCTGTTTCCTAGAGGGACCACAAGAATACAAGGACTGTAAGTCGCTTCCTGAACAGAGCCTTGAGAATAGCTCCAGGGACGTTCATAGGTCTCTAGAAGGAAGTATCAAATAAGAATGGATAAAGAAAATGTGGCATATATACACAATGAAGTAATACTCAGCAGTAAAAAACAACCATATCATGAAATTTACAGGCAAATGGATGGAACTAGAAAATATCATCCTGGGTGAAGTAACCCAAACTCAGAAGACAAACATGGTATGTACTCACTTATAAGTGGATACTAGATGTAAGGCAGAGGATAACCAGACTGCAACCCACAGCTCCAGAGAAGCTAGCTAACAAGGAGAACCCTAAGAGGGACACATAGTTAGCCCAGCGAAGGAGAAATAGATGAGATCTACATGAGCGGACTGGGTGTGGGGGTAGGTAATGGAGGGCAAAAAATGGGGGATGAGAACATAAGAAAATAGGAGGTTCAAGCCATAACAGGGACAGAGTGGGAGAGCAAGGAAAGAGACACCATGATAAATGAAGACATCATGGGAATAGGCAGAGGCAGGGTGCTGGGGAAGTTCCCAGGAATCCACAAGGATGACCCCACCTTGGACTACTGGCAATGGCTGAGAGGGTGCCTGGACTGGTCTACTCCAGTGACGGGATTAGTGAATAACCTAACTGTCATCATAGAGCTTTCATCCAGTGACTGATGGAAGCAAATGCAGGAATCCAATCAATGAGAGAGAGGAAGAATTCTGTGGGCAGGGGACGTCGAGATCATGATGGGAAAATGTACAGAGACGACCAGCCACACTAGTGGAAACCCATGAACTGTGGACCAATAGCTGTGGAGCCCCCATAGGACTGGACTAGGCCCTCTGGATAGGTGAGACAGTTGTTTAGCTTGAACTGTTTGGTGGAGGGGGACAGACAGGGGGATTGGGATCCATCCTTGGTGCACGTGCAGGCTTTTTGGAGCCCAGTGCCTATGGTATGACACCTTGTGCAGCCTTGGCGCAGTGGGGAGGGACTTGGACCTGCCTCAACTGAGTGAATGTACCAGGCTCTGCTGACTCCCATGGCAGACCTTGACTTGGGGGAAGTAGGAACGGGGTAGGTTGTGGGGGAAGGCTGGGGGCAGGAAGAGGGAGGAGGGGGCGATATGTGGTTGATATGTAAAATGAATAGAAAATTTTGTAATAATAAAAAAAGAAGAATGGAGCCTTCAGACTCTCCAGAGTTTCTGGGACACACTCACTCCTCCCTTCATCAACCGTGAAAGACCCGTACAAGCTCAGTACTGGATGCTAACAGTATTTTCTTCAGAATTTGCTTCCTCTCTTCCAATCTTAATCTCAATACTCTCTCTCCTTCCCTCCCTCCCTCTCTCTCTCCTTCTCTTTCTCTCTCCCGCCATCTCCCTCTCTCCCCCTCCTCTTTCTGTCTCCCCCATCTCCCTCTCTCTCCCTTTCTTTCTCTTTCTGTCTCCCTCCATTTCCCTCTTTCTTCCCCCTCTCTCCTTCCCTTCCCCCTCTCTTTTCCTCCCTCCCCACCCCCCACCAAGGTTCATCAGCTCACACCTTGATTCTCTGATTTTTCCTACAAGGAAGGACTCCTCCTGTTCTCTTGTGTGAACACTGTCAACTTCTGGAGAATAGATGTTGTGACTGTTATTGCTCTAATCCCTCAGCCACTTCTATCCTCTTTTAGAAAATGACAGTTCTAAATATAAAGTAGGACTTATTGACCGTTGTGAAAGAAGTTCTCCTGTCTATCAACACTGCAGACACACTTATCTATCAGACTGAATCACTCACAGTGCCCACCATGAGAAGAATGGCTACCAGCTTCCTTCTAAGTTCTATGATGGAGCTTCCTCTTTATCTCAGGACATCTCATGGTTGCCTGTCACTTGTCTTTCAGGGAGACTGTATTCACCTGATTACATTGTCTCAGGTGCCTGACCTGAGCTCTGTAGAGCAGTGGCCATGGCAACCAGATGGGTACCATCCTTGTGTCTCCTACTCTCATGTTGGAAGCAGAATGTGTGCTGCTGTCCTCAGAGCAAAAATAGCTCCAAAGTCCCCTCCCTATAATGGGCATCATAAAGTTGCCTTCTGGTGGCATGGACTCTCTGTATAGATGATTTCTAGGTGGCAACAAGTCATCACATCCAGGAAGTGCTTGAAGGAGAGTCAACATTGTGGGTTTTCCTTCCAATGTAATATTCTACAAAAAGTGACCTGGTGTCTCAGCTCCAAGATGCTAGGGAGGATCAAGAAGCAAGTTACCCCATACCATGCACAGGGACTAGTTCAGGGGAAGATCTCAGGGGCTGGGTGGAGCAAAACATTCAGTTTCTGTGGACATCTAGATGTTAGGGCATTTAATGGTCTAACAAACTTCACATATAATGAATTCTCAGGAATGATCATTTCCCAGTGACAGCTCATCCCATCACAAAGCCCATGTGTATGTTGGTAGTCAAGTTACAGGTAAGTAAACAGAATCTTTTCATACTGGAAATGAAGTAATTCTTTAGTTTCTATGCTCACACTCTTAGAGTTATCATCACCAGGCTAGTCATGAGCCCAGACTCTTGACAAGGAGACAGACCTTGTCTGATGCATTGCTTCATTTATTTTCTGTCATTCTTTTCTTCAGCAGGACATATCCTGTGAAGAGGCCCATATTTATGATAACATAAACCATAACGCATCCTTTCTTATCTGCTCAGTGGATACACATTTAAATTTGTGGATGATTTATTTGCTGTCTTCAAGAACAGAGAAGCAATTCAGACACATTGCTGTATCATATTCTCCTTTGGACTATTAAGTCTGAGAGGAAAGGCCATTAGTGTCTTAAAATATTGCACATTCAGGTGATTCAGAGCTGTCTCTGAGGTGACTGCTCTGTAGCCTGCATACTCCTCCTACAGTGGCAGGTGAGTCCCACAGTAGAAAGAGATTTGGCCCTTTCCTCACAGTAAACATGAATGCACATATGAACGAGATGCATGACCCTATGACAGACAGCGCCCCTTATTAATGAAGGCCCTGCTCATCATGGAAGATTGCCTTGACATGGTGACTCAGATGAAAAACGTTCACCTCTCATGGTTCACTTTCCTGAAATAAAACCCTTATTTATACTCCATCCTCTAGGTGTCAGGTGCTGCCCAAAAGCTGATAGTGAGAAAAGTGTGAATCCCATAACATACTCACCCCAATTCTCTGAACTTCCATGAAAGTTGCTCTTTGGAATGACTTTTCCCACACGGCCAGCTCACTGCCCAGCTCCACACTGAAGATGTGGCTCTTCCCATGGCTGGCCAGGACACTGAAGCAGTATGATCTGGGGTCTTCACAGTCAAAATCTTGGAGACCCAGATACAAGTTTGCCTGCAGCCAGTAGTTGTCCGAAAGCCAGAACTGAAAAATAGTGTGGATTGGAAATGGGTCAGGATTGGAAGGTTGAGCCCAGACTGCAGACCACAGCCCACCGTTTGGGAAGAGGGTTGCATTTGCCTTGTCTGGTGGAGGTCACCTCTTCCTCACAACCACCAAATGGGGCAAGTGCTTTAGTAACAATTTCAGAACAACAGCTGGAGCAAACGAAAAGAAGGAACGCACTAGATGATCCTGATAATCTCACAGACTGACCAGTCCCCGCCAAACAACACCTTCCAATGATGTGCTTGTTTTGGAGCAGCCACACCCTCTCAGGATTTCCTCCTGTCAAGGTTAGCTACAGGGACCTGGATGCCATCAGTTGTTACTGCTTCCATATGAAGCGTTTGGAAGCAGGCAACAGGGAACACTGAGAGGAGTCTTCTGGAACAGGCTCCTTCTCATACACAGCTACAGAAATGACTCACAAAAATATTGTACATAAGCTATGCCCAGATTCTGATTACCAGAGGTTAGCTTTTCCTCCTAAAAGAATGATAACTACTATTTTTTATATTTTACTTTTAAAGACAAAAACTTTGAGACTCTTGTTTAGCATAAACCCAACAAACTGAGAAAAGCCCACGGAGCTTTTTGCCTACAATGATTCCCAGACAGCCTGGGTGCACTTCTAAGGAGGAGTTCAGGCCCAGGGCTTCAGGATGGTAGCTACTGTTCTAACACCTGAGTTTTGAGGTGAAATATTATTCAATAATAGGTCTCTAATGCAGAGACAAAAGTGTGCTCTTGTTCTTTCTCTTTTCAACCATAAATTGTAGTGAAGGAGTTCATAACTGAATGAATAAACCTGACTGGGGAGAGAGACAGTACTTAGGAAACTGAGCTAAGAGGTATAAATGAAGACCACTAACATCTTTATTAATAGATTTATCACAGCAACTATGTATTTAAACTGTCTTGCTAATAGTGCTAAAATGACAGGAACTCCGATCACTAAGATACATCTCGCTTGATATCTAATAACTCTACATAATTGGTGAATAAATTACAGTTTATTTATAAAGAATTGTTTCAGAATAGACTATGAAATGCTGAGTGGTAATTCACAGATCTGGCCACATAGCAACATTCCCAGGAACCTTTATGTAAAGAGAACTCAGATGTCTGAGTCACATCTCACAGCATGTAAAATAAAATTAGATCCTTTGCCTTTGGTGAAGCTCCCTCCAGATGACCACAATACAGAAAAGGTTGAGAATCCTTGCAGTGCAGCACCCTGGCCTTGCAGAACTGGAAACTACAGTCTGTCTCACAGGGACATGAAGGATGTGGTGGCAGCATGTCCAGCAGGCTTTTCCCCACTGCCTGCCATCATCTTCCCAGCTCTTGGTTGACAGAGGCCACCCTCAAGTAGAGACTGAATTTGAGACCAGCCTGGGCTGCATAGACTCCAGTTTAAAAAAAATACCAACAAAACAAACAAAAGACAAAACTTCCAACAACATAACTAAAAGAACCAAGATCCTGAATCTCAGTGAAATCCTATGTGTTCAGTGGCTCACCTTGGTGGGCTATGCATTTATAGGTCCTGTTCATTATTCCCAGCAGGTCAGCACAGCAGTGGAAACAGGAAAGACTCACAAAGACTCTCTCCAGGTAAGACTCCCTTACACTGAGTCCTTGTCAGTAATGACACCTTCCCACTAAGGAAAACTGACTTCCTGCCTGTGGATCTGCTACATGGGAACTGTGCAGTACACTGGACAATTCTGACAGCTTCATGGGACTGCTGTGGATACCCCTCCCCTTCATTATCTTTGAATACTTTCCTATAATTGGTTAGAATCGCTTTACTCATTATTCTGGCCTATCCAGTCCAGGATTAAATAAGAAATCCTTTTAGGTCACAAATTTGAATTTGAATACTAAAATATTCCTCAACAGGGCTGAGATGGTTGCTTAGCAGGTAAGAGTGCACAAGTGTGAGGACCTGAGTTCAAATCCCCCATCTGTGCAGAAAAGCCAGGATGATCCTCTGCATTTGTAACCCCAGCACACTTAGGGGCAGAGAGAGGAGGATTGCTGGAGCCTGTTATTGGCCTACCTCCAGGTTCAGTGAAAGACTCTGTTTCAAGGGAATAAGGTGGAAAAAAAAAACAAGAAACCTAGCATACTTTCCTTGCCTTTGCATATTCAAGGGTGTGGGCACTTACTTACACACACACACATACACACACACCACCACCACCACCACCACCACCATCCATCCATCCATCCACCTCAATAATCAATAGCTTTTATCATGGACTGGACTGGGCTGGAACAGCTAGTGAAACAAGAAAGGTTCAAGTTACTTTACTATCTCAAAATACTCCTCAATGAACGTACTGCGCCTCCCAGTCTGTTATCTGAAGGGTATCTTATCTATGAAAGTGTCCAAATGTCAAGGATACCCACCTTGTGAACTTTAAACAGCACCTCACAGAGGTTATAGGCACGTTCTGCTCGTCCCCAATCCAATGTGCTTACCTGTGGGAGATAAACAGATGCATTTGTGTAGGAAGGGGAAGGTCCTTCAGCTAAGTGCTCCAGTGCTTACCACTATGGAGCAATTCCATATGTCTCAGCTTAGATACTGGACTTTCCTTGCCCTGGGTGACAATGAACTTTATAGTCTGGTGTGGATTCCGAGTCTGTGTCCTCCTCTAGTGTTCAACGGGGATACAAAGGATACTTTATTGAGATACACACTAGCAATATGAGAACTTTATACTCTAAAATATAAATTTAGGGATCCATTTTTGGATTATCTGTCAATTAAATTTTAGTTTAAATGCAGAAATGTAAGAAGAGTATGCATGTGAGATAGTGTGACAATCAAGCAGACACACTGTTGACCAGCTGTCTGTTACTCCGGACTAAACTTCCTAGACATTTCTGCTTCAGAAATGAATGGAAAATTTACCTAATCAATTTATCTGAATATGTTTTTGGATGGCTTGTCATATCATAGCTCATAACTATTCATTTTTGAGTGATGTGTTATGATTTCTAATTTACACTCACATATATGATCTCTGAGTTAAAATGTTTTTGGTAAAAATGTACATAATTATCAGCAGTGTGAGAGATTTGGGTCTCTTCTGTTGACCATGCACTTAGCCTTGCAGTCAGTAAACTTAAACAGGGATTTTCTGTGTTATCTTTGAGGCAATGAATCCACATGTATTTAATCAGCTGGTGGCTTCTTAGCAATCATCCCGCCACACAAAGTGCTGCCAAGGTACTTAGATGCAAAGCTACTGAAGCCAGAGCACTAGCCAACAGTGAGTTTGACATGGAAACAACATTGATGTGTTACCATTTAACATATCATTGCTCCAGAGCCAGCTTCTGCTGGAATTGAACAACAAAAAAATACAAGAAAAATACACCTTAATAGAAAACAAGTAGGATTAAAGTGTTGACATGAAGCTTGGCTTTGGGTCAACATGCAGGCCTGGCCTGGCTTCTGGGATCAGCAGATGGTGGTTGGTCTTTTGGTCTGATGGTGGTTTGCTGCATCTTTCAGATTCAAAATATCTAAGACTTTTGTACCCCTCCCCAAGGCCATGGTGCTCAGGGTTCCCAAGACAGTATTGTCCTAACTCAAAGACAATGCTCACTGAACCTGGAGCTGCTCCTGTCCTTTTGACCTATCATACTGTTCACCTGGGTAAGGGAGATGCAGATGCCTCTCAGGGTAGAGCCCCAGGGCTGTTGGTATTACCAGCCAAAAATAAATCACACATGGGCAGGCCCTATGCTCAACTTTCCTATTAGAGAAGAGCTGATTATTTTGAGAGAATTAAAAAAGAAACACAAAGAAATGATTAAACACATTATTCAGAGACATGCTCCCTTAATAGCGGACGTGATGTTTAAATATGCGTTATACATATTCATAATTTGCCTTTTCAAAATGTGGTTTGTAAAATAAGCATTTCCCATGCCATTAATTTTTTTTCAGAAATAAAATTTAAATGGTAGCTTAGAATTTCAGTGTGTAGATTCATCATTTTTGTAAGCCTGAACTTTATGCTGGACATTTTAGATTGTGGTTATATTTTAATCATTCTAACAGTGACTTGATTATCACATTGAGGACATTATGTTCTGATATCCTGTGGTATCAAATGCATCTTCTTCATTAGCTTGTCATTAGTATGTGGCAGAATAGCCTGCTTTCTGAGCTGTGTTCTAAGGTAAGGGCGGGAGGAGGTGGTGCTCCTTCCCTGCCATATTCAGGGTATTTTCTGGGCACCTAATTTCCTTCTGTCTTAGTTTTCCTATCAGGAGGTCATGCCTGTCCCATGAGGATGACCCCAACTCCATTCTAGCCCCTGAGTTGCTGAAAGTGACTGATGTTCCCATCTTGTGTTGTGCATAAATCATGCCCTGCCCTTCATTATCTCAGTCACTGTGATGGATTCAGGGAAGAGACCTCAACAGAGATACAGAGGAGGTAGAAGGGCTAAGATTTGTTGGTAAGAGACATTTCATCATTGGACTTGGGGCAAATGCACTACCTGAGCATTGCTGGAAGTCACAATAGGCCTCAAAGACTTTGGTTACTGCTAATGTCTTAACACTACTTCCTTTGCTATAACAACATGTCACACTGATGCAAAGTGACCCAAATGGAGGGAGTCAGGTAGGTTGTGGCTGCCTTTTATTGTCTGCTTTTTCTGTACATCTAAAACTCCCTAAAATCAGACTGTTTAAAAAACAGGTCTCTCTCTTTATTCCCTTTCCCCAGGATTCCTAAACTCTTCTTAAAGGCTTAGCTGAGACCCAGACCAGAAGTATTTCTTCCTATCTGGAAAAAAGACTCAGTAGCCATGTACCTGGGCCCTCAACCTTCACTCACCTAACACTGCATCCTGTCAGCTTTTGCTCACCCAGTGTACCCTGGTCTGCTATCCAGCAGGCCCTGGGAGAGAAGGGACAGGCTACATGCTCAGAGAGGAGCATGTGTGCTCAGCAAAGTCCCACCTTGAGGCTGAGCCAGTAGTCAGACTTGATAGCCCATAACCAGCCTGGTTCTAGCCTGCACAGTAGTCCCTCCCCTTGTGATTTTGGTGTAGATACCTCTAATCCAGTGGAAAAGCAAACAAGAGGAGTCTTTGAATTTCTCCTTGCAGAAAATTATCAGCAAAGTATTTGTCACATTCTGCATGGTTCTTTTCACTTTTTATTAGTTATATCTCTAAAACCTGGCTGTGAATTCTGAATTCTGAATATAACAACCTTTCAAGTAGTTATCCTGATATCCACATTGCTTGAGTAGGAAACAGTTGACATAAACAGCTATTTGACATATAGTCACATATCCATAACAGAATATAAATGCAAAGTTCAGAATCTTAGGTCTACCTGATCAACAGTATTCTGACAAAAGTGAGGGTCTATTGAGCTCTGCAGGTCCCTGACTTAGTGTTCAGGGCTGAAATCTGGGTAAAGATACAACACCCGCCAAGCTCACCAAGACAGAGGTCCTTGGCCTTGCTGTGTTTCAGATGAAGCTCAGTGACCTTGGTTTTAATTTCTAAGTAAAGTGACATTGGTGCATCAGAAAAGACTCTCTAGTGGGGCAAGTGAGGTAGCCACCTCAGCTTCTACCGACACTTGTGAGCAGTGGAGTCTCAGGTGACCCAGGACTAAGCATCCGTGCACACTGCTGAGAAGCTGCACAGCCACACCATTCTCCTTGTCTGGTGGATTTGTGAGGAAACACAGAGTCCCCCAGGCTCTTGAGAAGGGAAGAGAGAAAGACTGAGGAAACAGAAAGGACGTATTTTGGATAAAAAAAAAAAAACACTGTATTACACTGCAGACCTGCATTTAATTATTGCTATCCTTACAAAAAAAGAATTCCTGATTTTGCAAACCAGGTTCTCTGTGATATCATTTCCTCATGTGAAAGGTTCCCTCATACAGGAAGTACAACTTTTCTTTCCTGCTACAATGCTTTCATAGTACCCCTCTCATGGAAGGGATAAGACCTCAAACAGAGAGAAGGGGTACTCAGCTTAACACTCTGAGCTATCATCTAGCTAGATTATTTAGAAAGTGGCTTCATGTGTCAGTCACTGGCCCTGACTGTAACTTCATCTGGTGATGCAGAATCAACACAAGCAGAGACTAGGCCCACTGATTCCAGACTTCAAGGGTGCATTGCAAAGAGGAAAATAAGCAGGCATTCATGTGAGAAGAGACTAAAGATTTCTAAATCACATATCCTTGCTCCTCCAAACAACGGCACTTGATGGCGTTCTGACTTGTCTGGCCATATGTGGCTTTTGGTAGAGCAGTATATTTTACTATAAGACACACTATGTTGGTATCTTTTAGGGTTTTCATGGGATAACAGGATGATGCAGCAATTCTACACTGGATTCATTCTTGTCTACACTCTGCAAACTTTACTTAATTCAGTTCTTTCCAGATAAACTTTTACAAGTAATAGAATATATCTGCCTAACTGACTGCTAATATTTTCTATAGGCACAAGGGCCTTTACCACATAATTTTTCCACTAATGCTACATGATGTTGTTAAAATGATTTTACAACCTTACTTTTAACACATTTTAATGGTGTTTGAAAACATGAATAGCTGAAACATCACCTTTTGGATTCCCATTTGCAAGTCAGAAATAAATATTCTGTCAATGAAGTTGAGCAGAGTGAAAGCAGGGCTGAGGGTCTCAGCCTTCCAACCCCATCTTTCAGGATCTCTGAGGGTTTGGGAGATAGAGGATGGAGAATGGATGATGAGGTTCCTTTCAGACTAGACCCTACTTCTTCCTCATTAGGACACCTCACTGCAAAGGATGCTGACCCCTATATTTCTCCATCCCCCCCCCCTTCCTGAAGGAACTCAGAAACAAACTGTCCTTGATTGAAAGATATTTTTTTTTTTAGCTCTTTCCAAATTTCCCATAATAAGAATCTTTAGGTCCTTCTAGAACCCATTTCAAAATTCTGAAAAGACATGTTGAGAACTACAGCTTAGTGAATATTTTGACTTTTCTGCACTGTCAAGTTTTTGTAAATGCCTATAATTGGCCCTTAGGATGAAGGCTGGTTGTGCCGTAACCACTTCAGGAAGCTGGTGACAGTCATTTAGGAACATTTACAGAATTTCTTCTCTCTAGAAGTCACTTGTGTAGCTCCAAACTCCTGGAACAGAGACTTGACCTCCTTCCCCTAGGGAGGACATGTTGACTTTACTGAGATGAAGTCCATCCTTTGGGGACATGGGTGGGTGTCCTGTTTCGTGCACAAGGTCCCATCTGAAGCTCAGGCCTCTGCAGGTGAGGGGACCCTGAGCCCTGCTGGGCCCACACACTGGGGAACCTGGTACTGGAAGTTCTGCAGGTTATTAACTACCTGTCTCTGATCCGGGAGCTTCAAGCTTCATGCAAGGTTAATTCATTAAACCTTAATGTTTCTGATGTAGGCAAAGTAAAAACTGTTATTGGAAATTAGTAGCAATGCCAAGATATAAATCCTAGGCCCAGCAAACATACATAAATATTTAGGTATAAATTCACTTACCATATTGTGTGCATTACTATGGCAACAAAAAGCTGTCTAATATTAGTAGTATGATTTTTATCTTTTAAATTTAACGTGCTTCAGAGGCTTCAAGGCACTTACGTAAGTAAGCTATCCTGTGTTCACTGTGGCCCGGTGGGATATTCCAGTCAAGATTTATTATCTCTGACATATAACTGGGGAAACTGTTGGATAAGGAATGTAAATAAGTTGTTTCATGTCCCTGGCTGGTAAGCAGGACAATTATGCTGAGAACTTACAGCTCTGAGTTATTAACCTGCAGCCAATTCCACTGAGACACAGAGTAATTCCTCATTGTTCCATACCATCTTTTCTATCTCGCTTTAAAAATTGCTTTGGCTATTGCAGATAAAAGATGAATTTTTTAAAACATTTAATTTTGTCCAACACCATTCTATTATGTAAGGTAAATTTTTATCTTTCTATTTAACATGTTGTCTAGGCTGCTTGTAGCTCTTTACATCTTTATTTCATACAGGGCTGTCCATTTTGAGCATGCTGCAAGTGAATGAACCTAACCTGTTTGTCTCTAGAAATGGACAGGTGTTGAACTACGTCAAACATGAAAACCCTGCTTTCATGGCCTGGCTTCTAAGCTGTTGATGTCTTGTGCTTTCGATTTCACTCCTTCTTGCTGATGCTGTACAATACGTAACCAAGGCTTTCAAATTACTCAGAAACTAATCATAGCCTCTTTCTTTTGTTGCCCTTAATTATCAATGGAAACAGCTGTCATGTCTACTTAATGGTGTGGCTGGTCATCGTGGCCACCATGACATTGTCCTACACTGTGAAGACTCTTGTCCTGGATGCCCCTGCTATGTGGAGCTCTTGTCCCATGGGGCCAGCTGACTTGGCCAAGAGCTTGGATGGGCTTCCTCCATCTACCCTCTATAATTCTTTTATAGAATAAAACGACGTTTGTTTCTCCCATTCCCCTCTCCCCTCCCGCTGGGGATTGCTTCATGTAGATTTGAGGGATTGAAGCACAAAATGCTTTTGAGATTTGCTACCCACCCCTACCTAAAAATATCCAAAGGGTTGATTTTTCCCCTTCCTATCCCATTTAGAGAGTTTTCTGACATTTCCAATTCACTGAGCAAAGCTGTTGGGGTTTACTATCTCCTAATACAAGGGATTACCCAGTCAGTGACCATTCAGCCATCAGAGAGTGTCTATGTTAAGTCATTTAACCTCCTAACCAGCAGCTACTTTATTATCATTTTAGAGGGATAGCAATGACAGCTATGTCACTGGAGAATTGAAAATTATATGAAGACATAGGGACTGTCCAACTGAAACCCTCTACTTCAGTCTGACTTTGGGCTGAATATTCATTCACAAATCATACTGTTTTCACCATTTGGTTTCTGTCAGCATAATTACCACAGGAAAAATGGAAATATTCCAGGCCTAGAGGAAGCATGTGGCACTTTCCCCCAACATAGCTGAGGATCCAGCCAGATGAGCACCACACTCATGTGGTCCCCACTGTCAATATTACCTGCATGCTACTGACATCATTATTTGGGAAGACTCTAACACTACTCAAAAAAATCCACTTACTCTGTTAGATAAAACCATATAAATTAATTTAGCAACTTTAAGGGACATTAATTAGTTTACCCTCAGGAGAATTAAATCAGTGCTTATGCAAATATTTACGTGACTGTAATGTGAGTAAATCTACAACATAAGATTTTTTTTAAATAAAAAAAAACAAACTTGTAAGTAGACACATTGTTGTCCTAATTCAATTCTGGGCAAGAACAAGCACATTAGTGGAGAAAGCCAGCGAAGGTAGCAGTACTCCATAGTGAGTACATTTTCTCACTCATAGCTTTTCATTTTATACAGGTTGCATACCCTGAGGGAAGTTCAGTGAAGGGTGCTTCTGAAAATATAAAATTATTCCAAACATTTGTGTTACTTTATCTCATTTTAATGGTAGAAATTTATCTCACTATTTTTGTGGATCTTGTTTTTTCAGGGATGTTAAACTAAATTTCTTTACTTATTAGTTCTAGTGGTCAGAATCCCAAAAGTAAATAAAAAAAACAACAAACAAATAAACTTCAAATGATGAACTTTTAGGCAGAGCACTTATAACCCATTTGATCAATCTGAGAACAGTGTGGGTAGGAATTGGAAAATAGAAGTATAGAAAACAGCATCCATCCTTACAGTTACGTGATGAGTCCCACTAAAGCAGGCTGTTCGCATTAATCAAATCTGGAAATTGTGTGGGAAAGAATAACTTCAGAAATTTCATTATTTGGACATTTAGTTAGAAATATCTAAAGAGGGGGGCTGTGTTTAGGTTTGACTGCGTTTTGGATCCTTCAACTGTATAAGTCAACCAAAGAGCTGTCTGCATTCCACCTCCACACCAGCTGATGTTTGAAGCAGAGACTTGCTATGGCTGTTTGAACTGAAAGACAGAAATGGACTCCTTTATGAGTTTGCAGTAAGTCACTGGTGGTTAATCCATAAGCAGGACCCATTCTAACCAGTGAGTCTGGAGAAGGCCACGGACAGCTGCCTGTCTCTGCCTTCTTCCAGGGCCCCATCTCATATGAGTAACTCTAGCAACCAGCCCCTCAGCCCCATCAGATGCAAACTCCTTACCGGGGGAGTGCTGAAAATGTAGAATGATGAGCCCTTCAGGGCCAAAAACTTGGATCTGAAGTTCTGAGGGCTGTCAGCTCCCTGGCGCCTCTCATTTACCCAGCCCATGTGCACCACCTGCAGAGGGAAACCTTGGAAAATTAAAAGCCAAGCCTTAATGAGATTGTTCTAAGAACAGAATACTAACCACATTCAACGTGCTAGGCTCCTTGACCTCAACCCAGTATGCCCAGAAAAGAGGGGAAATCAAAGAAGTCTGGGTGAATCTACAAGTTTCAACTCAAGTAGACAGGATAGAAGTGTAAGACAATTTGTGGTGAATACCCAGACCTTGTGGGGTAAGGCTCTCCACAAGCAGCTGAGTTGTGGATTCTTTGTATGTCTTAAAAATGTGGTGTTACCAGAGAGATGGTTCAGCTATTAAAAGCACAGGATCATGACCCAAAGGACAAAAATGCAGTGTTAAATTACACTCTACGAGGGGTTATACAGATGGAAAAATAGCTAATTATATTTTCAGTGTTTATAGTAATCATGTAGTATCATACAATGTGAAAAAATGATTAAAGCCTTTTTTTTTTACAGTTTATCTACCTAGCAGTGAAAAATCATATAAAACATAAGATTCTTACAACTCAAATAGTTTCAGCCTCATTCTACAAAAATACAAACTATAAGATCAGAATGTGGTTCAGGTGTATAATGGAAATACTGATACAGTTTGAGTGAAATGATTTCAGCCATATTAAAAAACAACCCTCATCTTACCTTAATTTACATATGACACATACTTTGTAGTAAATGGTATGAGCAACTTCAGTTTAACTTTCCCACCTCCCCGTTTTGCCATTTCAAGGAAAACCAATTACCTAAAAAAATCCTTATTAAACAAACAAACAAACCCTAAATTAAGACAGAGTTCCCAATTACCCTCAACCTCATTCTTCCTTCTCTAACTTTTAGGAAGGGTGTTGCTATGTAGCCCTGGCTGTCCTGGCACTTGCTATGTAGACCATGCTGGCCTCAGCCTCATAGAGATCTGCTCGTTTCTGCCTCCACAATGCTGGCATTAAAGTTGTGTGCCACCATGTCTGACTTCTCAGCACTTTAAATGATATATCTTATTCACTACTTCAATGAACAATACCCAGGGTCCTTTGGGACTGATGACCTTGTGTCTGGAGTTTTGGACAAGAGTAGAAAGCTCATCAATAATCCCCATGGCCTGGGTTAGAGCAGCCCTGAATCAACTTTTGCCCAATAACTCCTGGCAGTATTTACTCTCACACATGATAGACCTGCCCTTGAGGTCAAGATGTCAGCTGACAGCTAACAAGACAGACAGACATGGTTTCTGTTGGTAGGGATAGTGTCATTCTGTGCAAAGTAGCAGCCATGGCTGAACATAATCACAGTATGGTATGTACTGACTACAAGTAACTGCTACACAAATCTGTAACTTTTGTCATTTACTAGAATTTGCATGTATATGTCAAGCAATGTGTATGAATATTCAAGCATGTGTAGTGCATGTGTTTTCACGGGTGCATCTAATATATGTACACATGCATGCATGAAAAGTCCTGAATTCAGTCTTGGCTATCATTTCTCAGGCATGGTCTTCCTTGGCTTTTTGAAGCACAGGGTCTCAGTGGCTCAGAACTCGTCAAGTCTGGTAGGCTGACTGACCTGCAAGTCCTAGGATTCTATCTAGGGTGCTCCACGGTGGGTTACAAGTATATGCCACCATGTCAAGTTTATTTCTTACAAGCTACATGGATGAAACTCTGGTCCTAATGCTTGTGAGGCAAAGCACTTTACCAACTGAGCTGTGTCCCCAGCCTTAACTTTGTCTTACATGTGCCCCAAGAAGGTGAGTTATATCAATGTGATGTGATAAAGTGACAATATTACTATTTTGAAAATTTCATATGTGACTTGGGATGACTTTAACATAGTTGGCTTTTTATTATAAATGGGACTAGAATCCACAATCTCATATGATAACCATAAGTATTTAACACCGTGTCTTAGAAAAGCCCCTGGCACAATGTCTGCAGACAGAAGCAAGATGGTATTTGTACTCTGAGAAGACTGCTGAAATATTAAGTCCTCCTTGAATGTCTTCTGGATCTGGCAACCTTCCAGACTGAAAGCGTGACAGCAACAGGGTCTTCTGTCTTCCTCCTCTTCGTATGACCACATACACTGCCATGAGTTCTGAGAAGGAATGTGACATGCCCACACAGAAGAGAGGATGGTGACATTCATGGGCACATACATGAGTGTGGATAAACAGGAGTACACAGGAGACGAACAGGCACTGTAGACAGCTGATTAGTGAGTCAAAGATGAAGGTGTCAGTTCTGGAACCCTGGCTGAAACAGAGAAGCTGCAATCTTCCTTCCCACAGCAGCAGAATTCAAACAAGGATGAACTACCCTTGGATTCCAGGTCATTTGAAGGCCACCGTGGGTTGTCAGAGCTACAGGTATTAGCTGGGAACCAGTGCCACCTCTGAAAGTACTGCAACCAGCATTTGGCTCTCCTTGTCTACTACAACCTTCATGTTATCAGTGTCCTGGTGAAGCTGGTCTCTCCACACTTGGTCAATACCATGCCCAGCACATAGTCAACAAGAATTCCATACTGAAGAGTGGCGGAGAAGCTTCTGCTCTAGCCATGGTGACAGCTCAGGTTAGTAAGCATCCGAATCACCAATTAGCTGGATGTGAACTTAATTAAATCCCATGTGTAATTTAATTCCGCCTACATCAGTTAGCCCAGAAGTAAGTTATAGCTTTGCTGTTATTCAGAACATTGGCTGCCTTGTGAATCTTTTTTATGTATATGTAGCTCGTTCATAAATAATCTACAGGAAGCTAATCTTATCTTTTACATTATGAATTTTTTAATGACTTGCTGCATGTTGTAAGAAGTGTATATCACACTTTGGTGAATGCTGACCTGATGGTATTATGTGACATAATTAACTGGGGACACAGGGCCTCACCATCTCCACAGAGGAGTACTTTGTCATCTGTCTGGTGCCACTTCTGTGGAAAGTCCTGTTTTTTGTTGGGTCAGTGTAGACACTTGGTTAAGCCTACACCAGATTGTCATTACACATGTTTTTTTCTTCTACATGAAAAGCTAGTTTCCTGTGCTACTTACATTATTCTTGGAGTATTAATCAAGGCATCATCACATCATTTCCCAAAATTAAAATCCAAGTTAGAAATTTTAGAAGAAATTTATTTTGGAAATTAAATAAAGCTGTAGTTTTACTAGGTGATCACACTTTGGCTTACCTAAAAGATTTCTCAGTTTGTGCTTATTGTCATTAGATTTAGGTTGGCTATGTGCACGTGTGTGCAGTGCATACCCACACGTACACACACACAAGCTCACAGGTCAGAGGTCAACAATGGCTGTCATTCCTCAGGTGCTTTTTGTTGTTGTTGTTCATCTTTTTGTTTTGTTTTGTTTTGGAAAAGGGTCTCTCATTGGCTTGGAACTCACCAAGAAGACTCTCCTGGCTGGCCAATGAGCCACAGGGGGCTTCGTGTCTCTGCCTCCTCAGTGCTGGAATTACAAGCACACACCACCACACTTGACTTTTTTTTTTTTGTGGGTTCTGGGGACCAAACTCAGGTTTTTAATGCTTTCAAGGCAAGCATTTTACAACCTGAACCATCTCCTCAAGCCAGCTTGGTCTTTGTTTCAGACAAGAGTGCTCCAGTTTGAGCAACAATTTATAAGGCTGGATGCTGATTTTTGTACTAGCCTCCAGATTCTCTTTTCTTTTTATTTCAGTTTTAGCAGTTGTTAGATGCCATGCTGGATAGTTTTGTGTCAACTTGACACAGCTAAAGTCATCTGAGAGGAGGGAACATTAATTTTAAAAATGCCTCCCTAAGATCGGGCTGTAAGCAAGCCTGTAGTGCATTTTCTTAAATAGTGATTGATGGTGGAGGGCCTAGCCTACTAGGGGGGTGGTGCCACCCCTGGGCTGGTGGTCCTGGGTTCTATAAGAGAGCAGACTGAGCAAGCCATGAGGAGCAAGCCAGTGAGCAGCACCCCTCCATGGCCTTCGCATGCGCTCCTGCCCTGTTTGAGTTCCTGTCCTGTTTGAGCTCTTGTCCTGATTTCCTTTGATAATAAACAGTGATATGGACATATAAGACAAATAATTTCCCTTCCTCTCCAAGTTGCTTTTGGTCTTGGTATTTCATCACAGCAATGACAATCCTAAGTAAGACAGATGCCTTTTTTTCCCCACATTTACTCAAGTATTACTTGTTTATACCAACAACCAATGATTAACTGCTTAAAATGGAGGAAAATAATGCTTTTCATTTTTGAAGGGCTCAGTGTCAGCTCCCAAGACACATAATAGAGTGTGTGGAGTTTGGAGCAAATGTGTCACACCCTCTACAGGTGCATAAGCAGACACCCAGGATGGCAGGGATGGTTTGAAAGCTGCCATATAGGGTGGTTCGACTTCAGTGTCCAATGTAAGAACACCAATGAAGCCTCTAGGTAAGTCCAAAGTAGTATAGAAATTCTAAGTCCAGAAATAAGTATATGAATAAATAAAATCCCGGAAAATAAAAGTTTAGGTTTAGAATACCCAACATGACGTTGTTTTGCTGTTCAGATGCAGGAATTGAGGTTGCCAGTTTGTTCAATGTTTCTGCCAGAGATGGACATAGCTGGCCTTAGAACCCAGGCTTTCCTTAAGCAGGGCCAGCAAATTAAATGTCACGTGAGCAAAGTGTGATGTGTAGTAGTATTCACCAAATGAAGCTGGTGTCTCTGGTGTGAAAGGTGATTCATGGAGTACCTGCTCCTCAAAGAGTCTGCAGTTCCCCAGCATTGCCATTTCCCTGTGGCCCCTTGATATCCAATGACAGGAAGATGTGAATTCCACAGTAAAGGAGACATGTTCTGGTCACAGACCCATGGTCTTTCCATGGAGGCCAGTTGTTAGTATCCATCTGCAAATCCATCATTCTCTGAAGCAAGTCCGATTCATGTTCTGGAGACACGGCTTTCCAGCGGCATGCTGGAACCCACTAACCTCGCCCCTTCCAGAGGACTTGATGTTTCCACCTTGTTTATCATGAGAGATCTCCTCTGTGGTCACAGAGACCCCAGCAGGCAGCAGAGCCCTGCTGGGGTCCCCACCAGGGGGGGGTCCCCACCAGATCAGCTGGAGGACCTGAGGACAAGGACCATCTGTGAAGGGGCTGATTCTCCAAGCACAGAGTCTGAGAGATGCTTCAGAGTTCTGAGAGGCTAATAGAATTCAGTTTCAAAAACAGTAAATCGTTTGCAGAATAAGCAATACAAACTCGGTTGGGCTTCCCACCAGCAACAAATAAATTGAGAAAATGTCTATGTGTGAACCAAGTGGAGGTGTCTTAGTGGAAAAATTTGTAAGAAATTTATTCTCAAACTGTAAAGTTAAGTGGGAATATAATAATTTAGTGTGGGAAAATATAGCATGAATGCTATTCTAGTTTGAAGATGTTTATAGGAGTATTATTCATAAAATAGCTAAGCCCTCATTAATCTATGTAAAACACAAATAGTTGATGATAATTTATAAAATATTGAAAGTAATAACTTATATTTAGAAGAGTTATATTTAGAAGTTGTTTCTTTTTCCAGTGTAAAAATGCTGACTAACAGGTCCGATTGAAGTGCAAACTGAATTTCTTATCTTTCTCAGTCAACATTTAATTGAGAGGAATATTCTCCTGGGTGTCATTGTCTTGAATTTGGGTTTTTTTATTATTATTTTTTTCATTTATTTTACATCCTGACTACAGTTTTCCCTCCCTCCTCTCCTCCTGCTCCTTCCTCCCACCTCCCTCTACTCATTCCCCCATCCACTCCTCTGTTTCTGTTCAGAAAGGGGCAGGCCTCCCATGGGTATCAACAAAGCATGGCATACCAAGTTGAGGTAGGACTAAACTCCTCCCTTTGTATTAAGACTGGGCGAGGCAACCAAGTATGAGGAACAGGTTCCCAAAAGCCAGCCCAAGCATCAGGGACAGGCCCTGATCCCACTGCTAGGAGTCCCACAAATAGACCAAGCTACACAACTGTCACACATATGGAGAGGGCCTAGGTTGGTCCTATGAAGGCTCCTTAGCTGTCGGTCCAGTGTCTGTGTGCTCCTATGAGCCCAGGTCAGTTGTTTCTGTGGGTTCTCTTGTCATGACCTTGACCCCCTTGGCTTTTACAATCCTTTCCCCCTCTCTTCAACAGGATTCTCAGAGCTTGGCCTAGTCTTTGGCTGTGGATCTCTGTGTTTGTTTCTATCAATGACTGTATGAAGGCTCTCTGATGACAATTAGGGTTGTCACCAATCTGATTACAGGAGGTGGCCAGTGAATTTGGATTCTGATGCTAACCACTGTTTAAAGGGCATTCATAAGCACCAATTAAAACAAGAGTAATACATTAGTATTAGTTTCTGTAACTTAAGGCTATAACACTTGCTTCTGAAAACCTATGAAAGATGTAGTCCAGAAACCAATGAACTATAAATAATTTTCCCCTCATGTATTCAGCCTCATGTGTGACTAATAAGCATTCCATGAAAGGCAGAGCCAGGAGTACTCACTAAGAGCTGATGGAGAGCTGATGTCAACGAGGGGCCTGATAGGGGAGCCCTGCCCTAGGTACTACATGATATAAGAACACTGCCCAGAGTGGAGTGACAGGATTCCCCCCAATGATATTAACACCTGTTGGGTCAGCACCTTCTGGGGCCCATAGCAGCTTACAGATAAGTATGTCATAAACTGAATTCCATCGCTGTGTTGAGGACTCTACAAGAATGACTTGGTTGTAGAGTAGAGATGTTGCAGATTGAGAGCCAAATCATCCTGATCTATCTTTAGTTCCCTTAATAACCATTCATGGCTCCCTCCATGTCTGACCTATCATCCTTGTGACAATCAGGTAAATCCTTTCAGAATTTATTAACCTGCCACCAGCTCCAAAGCTGAGCATAACACCAGACAACATGTGAAACCTACAGCAGAGATTTCCCCACTTTGCTCTAAACAACCTACGTGATGATCAAATCACTGTATTTGAAAAGTGCCTTTATCTACATGTTTCTTTGTTCTGTTACCATAAAAACTTCAAGAAACTGAATACAGTATATAGGGGGAACCTCCACCTGTGTTTCTGGGCCACAGCTACTGAAATTTGATTCCAGAACAAATTCTCATATTCCCTTTGAGATGAGAACTATGCTATTGAGTCAACAACATCATATAACAAAATGATCCCAAGTCACACAGGCCTTTCTCCATCCTAAATCCCCTCTGGGCTTACACAGTCCTCTCTAAACCCTGCTAAGATCACATTTTCTACTGGATACAACCCACAGACAACATTTATCTTAGTAAACACAGGCTATCAGAACAGTCCCTGAATGTGTTTCCAAATAAATAAAGAGCACTGAGTTCACACATGGGGCATGGCATACCAAATTCAGTATGATTCTCACTAGCATATTCCTATCTGAATTTCACAAGAGGAAGCATCCGCTTTGGGCATTTGTTATCCTACTGAGCTGAAGGCATACACCTACCTGGTCACAGGGAGAGCAGCATTTATTTGCCATTTTCATCTGTAGAGAGAAGACAGCAAGGGGTCAATATGCCACACACATTAATGCCTTCATTTTTCAGCCTGTCTAAATGGCAGCTGAAATTAATCAGCTCAGGAAACTTCTTCAGAAGTTTTTTTTCCTTTATGCTGTGCTTATCTTCAAACCAGAGCAAACACACACTTACCACAATAATTCTCAAAGCAGGAAAACAATGAAACAAAATAAAGTGTACAGACACACTAATGTCATTGTTCCCAAATAGCAGCCATTGAAGTGAGAGTAGCTGTTGGATGACAGATGTTTAAACATGTGAAAAAGAAATAAGGAAGATGGCCTCCACTCTGTCACATTAGCTAACTACAATGACCGATGGCCACAGTGACTAGTCAATTCTTTACTTATTTCCCCAAACCCTGTAGATGTCACTTTCCATAATTTTACCAGTGAAGAAATGGAAGTCCAGAAGAAGATATACCCCAAACTGTGAGCCCACATGTCTGCCCTGCCATGCTGCCTAGGAGTCACCTTCAATATTCATCCAATCAGGAGAACCCTGCACTCACTGGCTTTCTTCAGATGCCAATCCAGCCCTACCCATCTCCTTTTTCTTTGCTTATTTATCCATTTATTTATTTAATTTAAAAAATATATATATCCATCTAGATCCTAGGGATTCAAAGTGTGGAATATTAAAACCAAGAATGTAGGAAGGCACTTCTTTATACAATAGTAGAAAGATGGCTCCTTGTGTCTTCAGAGTAGAAATCTCACATATCACTGCATCCATAAACATCTCAGATTATTCAGCCAACTTCTGTCTGTCAATGGGCAGGGCAAGGCAGGGGATGAGGAGTGAGGGGGCAGCAGGCACTAGGCTATGTGGTACAGAGTATCACAAGTTGTGCCAGGCTGACGAGAGCAGATAAAGGAATGGAGTGCAAACACATGCCATGGGTGTTGGAGTGAAGATGGGAGCTGGGCCAAGCCTTTGGTTAGGGGCCAATCCTGCCACAGCTACACAGCTATAGCTTGTCATACTTCATGATGTTCTTCTCCCCCAAATCATCTCTATTTATTCCTCTATTTTACAAATCGTACTGACTTTGAATATTAAACATATCACCCAAGGGCACAGAATACTTTTTTTCTGGCCCAGATGCCTTCAGTGAGACACAGCATATGTTTTTGGTTTGGATAAGTCCTTTTTAATTTTTTAAAAACAAATGTTCATGGTTGGGATGTGTGTGTGTGTGTGTGTGTGTGTGTGTGTGTGTGTGTGTGTGTGTGTGCAAGTTTGTGCTCATGTTTATGTGTGCACCTATTTGGGGAGGCTGTAGAAAACCCAGGGTGTATATCTTGTATTTTTATCCCAGTTAGTAGTTTTTCCAAATAAAATTCACATTCTATTTAACACATTTGTGTGTGTGTGTGTGTGTGTGTGTGTGTGTGTGTGTGTGTGTGTGTGTCGAGAGAGAATGGGAGGGGTGGAGACAGAGACAGGGAGAGAACTAGCCTGAAAGTTTCCAAATGTCTATCTATATCTAGATACATTTTAATAGATTAAGTTTCAGTTATTTGAGTTAGATATTCGATCTGTGGAGACAAGTACATATTCGGCATGCAAACCCAAACTTGCAGCGGGTTAACTATACTTGGAAAGTTCTCATCACTACTGCTAATGCAGACACAAGTGGGAGTAAGTCCTGCTCACATGTTGAAGTGTCAGGTCACTGATGTTGGCTGAGATTGCACGCAACCAGTCAGCACAGTCCTGGGCAGTGGGGAACTGAAGGACCCCTGTGCTGGTTCCATCCAGGGCCAACACCTCGAACGCACTGGACCTACAGCAGAAGAGAACACCAGGGAGGCTGTCAGCTGAGACAGGATGACACCTGCTCCGGTCCATCCAGCAGGGGACAGGGGCTTCCAGCACCTGCTGTCCTACGCTCAGCTGTGGCACACCTAGGAAAGAGTAGATAGTCTTAATCTCCTAGTCAACAGGCATAATAGGTTAGCTTAGCCAAAATGAAAACCCACACTGAACTCCCTCACTAGGAACCATTTCTAATTCAGTAGGCACAAGGCAAGCAGGGCAGATGGGAAAGAAGCCTTGCTCTGGTTGAAATCTCAGAGTTATCATTTTATAGGCATCCTAGCCGTAATTATTTTGAAGCCCATTTACCTCATGGAACCTAACATGACATCAAACAACACACTCAGTACTGACTGGGACTGAAACTTCCCAGTGCATACACTCAGGATGGACAGCAGAGCTCTGGAGAAGCCCCGTGTCCTTACTTTGATGTGGACATGGGGGTGATTGACATGAAGCTGACTCAATCCCAGTATCCCTCCTTGTTGAGAAGTCCTTAAGACCCATATTGCACATGTATCCACTCTAAACTGTGTTGTTATAACCTCTCAGCTATGAGTTCTGCTACCCAAGATGAGGACTTAGGGGAGGAGGGCTACCGAGCCTTTCCTGTGTGTGAGCAGCTCTCAAAACAGCTTCCCACGAATGAATAATCTTTCTTTTTAAAACAGATATCTCCCTGACTGTCCCTACCTTAATTAGCACTTCTTGAATGAGAATGAAGCATTTAATTATTCCCGGCTGATTCTTCAGCCTGGTGGAATATGAAGGGTGATGAGTGTATTTTTGAAAGTATCACCAGAGGATGAACCTAAGGTGAAGGTGAGTTTTAAGTGAAGGTACAGGCAGTTGACAAGATGGCTTTGAGGAATGGGCCAGGCATTTCACCACAGCCTTCACATGGCTATTTCTAGTTGCTTCTTCCCATTGCATCTTCTTGGTAGAGTCATTTGTCTCTAACTCCTTCATTTCAAGGTTCCTTGTTCCCTGTATAGCTGCCTTAGACCTGCATGTTCCATGACAAATTATCACTTTCTCTATGTGGCACCGAACAATATTAAAAATATGTCCTTGTGTTTATTTTGGACACTGCAAGGACATGGACTTTATTCTAACTCCAAGAGGAAGTCACCAGGAGGCTTTGAGCACAGAAATAGCATGGTCAGAAATGGATGATAAATTTGCAAAAAAACTTGTATTGGAAATGGGCCAAAGGGATAGTGGGGAATATGAGAGAAGTCTGGTAACTGCTGGAGTAACCAGGCAAGGAGAGGTGCTTAGGAAAGCCAGCCTCGGGAGGTGACTGAGGAGGGGAAATTAGTCAAGAGATTGGACTCAGATTATGGGACAAAGAGGAATCAACACTGAACACAAGGTTTGGCTGAATGCACAGAAGTATAGCTGTAATGTTTAGCAGCTGTGCTGGAGTAACTGGACCCAGCATGTGAGGAAGGCCAGACTCGGGACAGAGTTTGGGCCATCTGCTTGCTTGTGATGCTTCCCAAGTAGAGCTGGGAGTGGGTGGTGGAACAGTCAAGTGTGGGCACTAGGGACATGTCTTGTCTAGAAATAGAAAATGTGAGCTGTCCACTGTGCAGGGTCAGGCTGTGAGAAGGAGAGAGCTCGCCAAGGAGCAACATGGAAAGTGAAGCAGCTGGAGAAAGGAGCAACCAGCAGAGAGAACAAGACTGACTGGCAAAGTGGGATATGCTAAGCTGGCACGCTTCCCTGAAAGTCAGCCCCCAAAGAAAGGTTTCTGCAACAGAAATAAATGTTGGTGTACTGACGCTCTCTGTACACCAGATGTGAAGACTTAAAGACTCCTGCTTCCCCCAAATATAGAAAAGTAGTACAAACCAACAGATGTGTAAATCACAACACAAGAACACAGGACACGTGAAGAAGCAAGGCAACCAGGCTGTTCCAAAAGACCAAAGTGCCTCATCTACTAAACACAGATACTAAAATAAGCAAAATGTCAGACAAATATTCTAAAGCTTTCTGGTAAAAATGATTGACAGCCTGAAAGTGAATACAGAGTAGGTGATAAATTCAATCTAGAATGTAAAGCAGGCGTCAGAGGAAAATGGACCTGGATACTATCTCTATCATCCCTCAGGCAAACAGGAAAACAAGCCAGGGCTCTAGTCCTCGTTTGTCAGTGGGGAGGGTACCATCCACCCAGGGTGAGGTTGGAAGACCTCTGACGATGGAGTAAAGTCTAACCCTTTGTCTGGATCTGAATGGAATCTCAGTAAGTAGTAGTAATGGGACCAATAGAATTTTGACAGGATTTGGTTGTATTTTATGAAAGTATTATGTAAAATATATTTATACAACAAAGAAAAACTACTAAGGATATGGAAGATGGATGGAAATCTGCCAAAGTATACTTGAGCTCTTACCTGAAATAGAGACCCTTGCCTCTCTTTCTTCAAGTTGCTGGAATGCCATACAAAGCCCCTTCTGCATCTAGGTATCATGAGATCCAAAGCCTTGTGCATACTTCAGCAAGGCTTTAGATCCCCAAGATGTCCCTCTCTGAGGACAGGGCTGTTTCCAAGGGGGCTATTGCACACTTGCATGGTTATCAGGTCTCATATACAGCTAACTGCCATTCACTCTCACTGAGCTGTGCAAAGCCCATGTAAGGCTGAAGGAATAGTTGAATTTTAAGCAGCAACTCCTTCCTGAAGGCTCCAGTTAGGGAGTCCTCTGCATTCTCCAGTGTTGACCATCCAATCTCACTGCAACATCCATATCCATGTTAGTAACCACACAATCCGCTTATGAATTCCTCAAATGAAAACCTGCTAGATTATCTCAAAGCCAGTTGAATACAATGTATTGATCCTAAAACCGAGTTCAGAAATGGTGGTAGGATATGACTTTGTCAATCAAATCCCTCACTTTTAAACCTTCATCTTTGTTTGCATCATAATTAATAAACGTGTTATTTTATAACTTGTTCCACTAGAAGTCTCCTTTTTCATTTCAAGACCAAATGCTAAATGATGTCCCAAGTGTTTTTTGAGAAAACTTCATCAACAAATATATTGGCTTGTTAAAGGGTCTCGTGTACCAGGGAATTGCATTGTCCAGATGCTTGTGGAGCTGGGACAAGATATGATTCATCCACACCATGCACATTGCTCAACACAGAAACAAACCCTCTGGTCACTTGTGCCTTTCTGTTTCATGAGGATACTGGCAAGAAATTGAAAACAAGTTCTTAGCCACATGGAGTTTAAATTCTACTCCAAGGAGCCACAGGCCATGTTTTCTGGCTAGTATTCTACTGATTTTTATAGAGGTGAGAGAATGAGTGAAAATTTTTTACTGGGTGCAGTGGGCAGAGGCAGGGGAATCAGTTCAAGGCCAGTCTCAGGTATAGATATGTGAGACCCTGTCTCAAAAAGAGAAAAGAGAGGGAGGGAGGGAGGGAGGGAGGGAGGGAGGGGGAGAGGGAGATGGAGAGAAAATCTTCAGATAGTTAAAACGCAAGAATATAAAATTTTATACCCCTCTCTCATTTCTGTCCTTTAAAAAGATTTTTAAAAATTCTTTTTTGAGTACATGTGTTCATGTACATGTGTGGGTGGGTACCTTTGAAGACTAGAAGGGGGCATTGGATAACCTGTAGCTGGAATTACACTGGTGCCCTTTTGATGTGTGTTTTCAAACAGGCCAACAATGCGCAAAAAATTCTTATGCTTTTTCTCCTTGTATTTCTCTGTAAGTCTTGAAGTAAAAAATTTAATAACATGGGAGGAAAAACTGAGGACACTTACACATCTTATAAACAATGGTATTGAAAATAAACAATAAAGAGAGTCAACTGGCAGCTTCCTTTGTAATCAACACGGTACATCAGTTTTCAAACATTGCAATGGTGTTATCTTTACCTTATGAAGAAGGTACTATTATTGAGATCTAGAAACTGAGTGTATACATGGCAATCACTTACCATGTTTACTTATAAGGTCAGGCAGGCAAAGGCAAGGACCCATAGTCATCACCAGGAGAGAGGAGGGGCTTCTGACTCCAGCCCTCTTTTAGCTCCTGATAGTGAAGATGTCTGATCTGGAGAAACTATAAGATCCCTGTGCACTGAAACCATGGCAACTGCTGCTTCCAGGAGCACACAGCTCATTCTTCCCTGACCACACAATTCATGTGAACCTGGTTTCTGTTTTTGGTTTGGTAATGCTACATTGGCTATGATGGCCAGTGGTCGTCATTTTACTCTTTCCTTCTGGGACAAGACCACAGCTGCAGACTATAAGCACACGGGAGTCACACTGCTGCCTGGGGAAACTGGCAGGAGCTTTGAATGGGACCTTATCTAGGTAAAGACAAAAAAGCACTCTATGCCAGGAAACTGCTTGGCTGGGAGAACTCTTTACCTTCTTAGGCTCACATCTAAGATGAGCAAGAAGCAGAATGCATTTGCAAAGTGCAGCTTGAGGAGTCTCCTCTCAGCTCCGCACATGAAAAAACCTCCATTCTAGGGAAGGAATCTGGGCAGAAGAATATCCTTGGGAGAGACTTGGTCTTCATGGGTGACAGGTCAAAGGTCTATCAACAACAGTGTCCTTTTAAAGACCCCATTAGGAGCTCCATTACCATTTCTTAAATGTGAGATCAAAGTGAGAAGGTGCCAATCCACCAGAGGGTTACCAGGACCAGTTGCCATACCTGATCTGGGACTTCACACTCCATGGTGAAAGGCAGATCACTGATGCTGTCAGGTGCCTGGCCTGTGTAGCTTTGAGTTCAGACTATATTTAATGAGCCAGATTAAGCCTCAAGGTCACTTCACACACTGAGAGAATCAGGGCCTCTAAAGCCTTCTCCATCTCCTCTCCCAAACGAGGCTCTCTGGACCTGGTATCAAATTTCCTGACTATATCCCTTTCTTTACTACTGTGAAAAATCCTGCCTCTGTGGTTCCCTAATTTTATGGCA